TGGGGGCCAACATTTATCTCTGCTTCCTTCTCTCCCCCACATCCACATTCCTGGCACCCCTGCCCGCTTGACAGTGAGGGCCTGAGTGGGCAAAGAGCTAGGCTTTTGCAGGTCCAGAAGAGATTCGGGAACTCATATCATCGATTCCCCTGTGTCCAGGCAGAGTAGAATAAACCCAGTGGAACTAGGTGGTAATCGCTCCTGTTGAAGAAAAGGCATCTCACAAATTCATGGCATAGACCAAGCATGTTTGGAGTTGACTGTTTCAGTCCTGTGAGGTAGACTCAAGACCCCTGGGATCTGGTTCCTACTCTGCCACTGTGTCTCTGAGCATGTCACACACTCTCTCTCTCTGCCCCCCCAGTTTCCTTTTGAGGGAGTTGTCATCACTGAACTTCTCTTCACATTCACATTCTTGCTTGTCTCTTTACCTCACTGGGGCAAAGACAAAGAAAACCCTCGCCCTTCCCTACATCCTAGAGGAAGACAGCAGCGCAAAAAAAAGAGCCACTGCTAGCAGAGCCCCGCCCCCGGGAAGAGGAAAACCAGGAAAGACTCTGCTGCGTGTTTATGAATTTCATGAGCAGCTGCTTCCTCTGCCAAACCCATAGCAATGGCAGCCTGGCCCTGCCCTGACCCCTCCCAGGGCCCCATAATTTGCCATCTGTTAGAGGGTCAAGGGAGGAGGTGACCAGATAGGCAAGTTGTCACCAGATAGGAAATGAACTGATGTCTGTCTCTTCATCTGAGTCCCTGGGTTACTCCAGGGGGTGGGCATGGTTAGCACAGCTGAAAAGTCCACATCTTGGTAGAGCTGTGTGTGTGTGTGTGTGTGTGTGTGTGTGTGTGTGTGTGTGTAGGTGGGAAGGGTACTGGGAAGGTCAGTATGTGCCTGTGTTTACCTTGGCCTGTCTGTCTGTGTGTGTCTGTGGTTCTGAGTGCAGGTGAGAAATGGAGACGATGTGTCTGGGTTCAACTGGGTCTGTCCATGTGCCTCCGTCTCTCTGGGTGCTGGGTCTCTGCTTTTGTCCTGTGCACCTCCATTCACCTGTGTGGATGCACGCATCAGTGTGCAGGCCTACCTGACCCTAAGTGCCCATGTCTTCATATTGAGTCATGGCGTCATGTATGTTTTCTGTCTGTGTTGGGTGCCATTGTCTCCCTCTCTGAAAAGAGTTAGTTCAGCTAGGGAGCAGTGGGGGAGGAAACTAACCCCACTCCTGTTGGGCATGTGATTTTCGTCTAGACATGTCTGTTTGCTGTGGCAGGATTTACTCTCAACAGACTTGGGAAAGGGCTTGGCTGTCGTGGCCTGTTGCCTAAGGCTCTGCAGTGACTCAGCCAACATTCTAGGTGGTGCACTGCAACTCACTGGGGGCTTAATGCCATGTCATTGTCTCCAAGTAGAGGCCACCTTCATGGGCATTACAGGGAGAGGGTTTCATCTGAGAAGGCAGGTCCAGCTCAGTTATTACCAAATCCGCTGTGCCGCAGGATCTCTGTGGGAGCAGGTCATGGGGCTCCAATGGCAGGGCCTCCGAGATCAATTCACAGTTGAGGAAACTTGGCTCAGAGGGGAAGTGTCTTTCTGTAGGTCATAAGCTAATTCATCACTCATTCTTTAATGAATGCTTATCAAGCACCTATTGTGTCAGCCACTCTGCTAAGTAATGAGAATAAATAAGCAGAAAGTTAAGCCACAGATTCTGCTATTGAGGCACCCACAATCTAGCTGGGGAGACAGCCCTATGAGCGGGCAATTACGACAGGGCCAGGCTGAATGCCACAGCACGAAAAACATGCAAGGGCCATGGGAGCACTAGATGACAGATTAATTCTCTTTCAGGGAAGACAGAGGGAGGGTGTGGTACGCTAAACAATGGCCTGCAAAGGCGTCCATGTGCCAACCCCCAGAACCTGCAAATATGTTACCTTACATAGCTAATTAGATTTTGCAGGTGTCATGAAGTTAAAGATCTCGCGATGGGGGGAGTACACTGGATTATGCAGGTGAGCCCAATGTAATCACACCGGTCCTCATAAGAGGAAGGCAGGAGAGTCAAAATCACAGGACATGTGATGATGGAAATAGAGGCCAGAGAGAATGAAAAAAAGTGATTTGAAGATGCTATGCTGCTAGTGTTGAAGGTGCAGAAAGGGGCCACAAACCAAAGAACAAGGTCAGCCTCTAGAAGCTGGACAAGGGAAGGAAACGGATTCTCGCAGAAGGAATGCAGCCCTGCCAACACCTTGACTCTTTAGCCCAGTGAGACCTCTTTTGGTCTTCAGATGGCCTCTTGGTTCCCCAGACCCATCTCCGCTCAAGCCGGGGTCCCGAGCTTTCCTTCTGTCTTCCTTACAATCAAAACCTGGACGACAGAGCTTATGACGGGACAGGACCCACTGCCTTCTCATCCCTAAGCGGAGCCTTCGCGAGCTCCTATGCTGACTAGCCAGCTACAGCTTCCTTCCCTGGCCTCTCAGGTGGCTTAAATGAAGTGGGTCACTCAGCGCTGTGATTTCAGAGCCACTCAGGACCATGAGCTCCTGAGTACCAGGCTGGGAGTTAGGTATTTGGAGAAAAATACTAAGATTCAGTCCCTGCTCTCATGTGTTCACAACTAAGGGGGCAAAAGACAAGGAAAAATATTTACTACCCCTTTCCAAACCATGTTTACACTGTAAAACAGGCTTTCAAACTCAAAGCGATGAGTAGGTCAGCCCATAGGGTTGGGAAAGCCCTTGTGATACCCATAAATTAGGCTCTTTACTCAGCTGTCTATGCTGCTTATGCCTCGGGTTAACTTTGGCTGACCTCGGACCAGTGACCATCCCACCTTGCCAAGTGTGGAGGGTAAAACTTTGGCGTCAGTGAGCATCTGGGAGCATCTGTCAACTAGCTCTGACCTTGGCTGGCTTAAGCCTCAGTCATCGCTTTGAGCCTCAGTTACCTCATCTGGAATACGGCTTCCTGGTCCTAAAAGGAAACAATGGGTAAAGGATCTACAACGTGCCAGCACACAGTAGGTCCTACAAATGCTAGGACCAAATTCCTATCCCGTGCTATAGTGGCCCAACAGGATAAAAGTCAGATCCTTATTTCCCTTCCTGAAAAAGTAACCCTGGTCGTCGTGGACAGTTTGTCTAATTGTGCATGGCCAGGGCTCCAGGATATAACAGAGAGGAAGGCTATGAAGGATTCCCCCCATCTTTTAATGTTTTTTAATTGGGGGTGCAGGAGACTCTAATTAGGGCAGTGGCGCCAAGAAGGAAACACCACAGCAGACCCTGTGGGCCTCCTCCTGCAGAGAAGGGCATAGCCAGCAAAGGGTTACCCTTTAGTGCATACGCCCATCCCCCACTGTCACTTCACATTAAAGGGCCAAGCATCAGAGAACAAGCTGGTCAGTGACAGCTGCTCTCATTAGCAGCTACCTCTCCCAATTTCTCACCCTTCTTGCCTTGGCTGAAAAAAAAAAAAAAAAAGTAATGAATAAAGCCATCAAAACAGCCAGCCCCTTAGGTTAGGATTCCCATGCCAGGTTGGCAGGCAGCTCAGATGCTACTTCCGGTGTGGTGCCCACTCTGATTGCCCCAACTCTCAGTTCCTCTTCTTGCCTACTGCACACAGGGTCAAGCCCTCGTCTGCCTGCTGAAGCACCCTGTCTGTGTCTCCTTTACAGCTCCACATTGTACTGCAACTCCTGTGCTTGGCCTGGCTGTGGGAGCAACTAGGCTGGGATTTCCTTAGGAGCAAGAGCTATGCCTTATTCTCCCCTCTGTGTTCATGAGAATGTCCCTGGACAGTGTTCTCAGGAGAGGGCAGATCATCTCACTGACTCTGGCTTTGTGCTGATTAAGCACATTTACTTACTTTGAGCTAAGATCCCTGAGCTTATGTATGTTACATATATGTATGTTACATATGGTCCCTGCCCCCAAAACACCCCGTCTAAAGGGAGACACACATCAACAATTTCAACGCAGATAAATGCTATCATAGAAGAGTGGTTGCTACAGGGTGATGTGGGGCTGCAGCCAGGGTTAGAAATCAGGAAAGGACAAGGGCTGGTCTACTTCTCTCTATTGTTCATGATTCTTACTGTGAATGAGCAAGGGTTATACTAACAACAACACAACCTACACGGTGTGCTGTTGAAACATCCAGCCGTTACTGTATTCTGGGATTCCTGATAGCTCAGGGTGAGCTCCCCTGAGGAGGGCCCAGGAAGGCACAGTATTAGAATAGGTGTTCAGTTATGTTTGCTAAATTATCCCCTGAAACTTTTAGGAAAAGCAGAGATTCCTGAGGAGACGGAGGCTCAGAGAGGTGGAACCCCTTATCACACCCAAACTGGAATCAGAGATTAAGTATGTGAAAAGGGTAACCCCTTCATTGGGGATAAAACAAAATGTGACCCATCCCAAGGCCATCTTCTAGGGAGCTCTGTGACTTGATTGGTAAGGTCTTAGTCTTCACCAAATCCTCTCTTTTCCAGCCAACATTGAGGTTAGGGTCTGACCAAGTCACCCTAAAGGTCACAGTGGGACAGACAGAAGTTTCCAAGAAGCTGAGAAGTTCTACTCAATAGTTTAAGTGTCCACCAAAGCAGCATGTGAGCACTATGAGTCAGGGACTTATACTTGACATGTGACGTGGGGCAAGTTTCTTCCCTTCTCAAACCCTAAAATGTCCTCATCAATAAAGTGAGAGTTGGATAAGATCTAAGATCTCTTCCATTTGCAATATTCTATGAGCCCAAACCTGCCATTGTTTATGGGACAGAGGATTTACAGACCCTGTTGGATCAAAACTCTCAGGCTTGAAAGAAGCAGTAATTATTCTCATTTTACTGAAGGGGTCCTGGGTAGGGTGACTCTTGAGATACCAAATGAGAAAAGGGCTGAGAGCTCCCCAGCTTTGGTCACTGAGCTGGAAACATTTAACACGCAGGCAGTCCAGAGCTCCGCTTGTATACTGAGGACAAGATGCTACTTACTATGCAGCAGGCCACCAGGGCTCCTTGAGCAAATCCTGCTAGGACATCGCTGGGATGGTGCTTGTGGTCAGATACCCGGGACAGTCCTGTGTAAAAGGCCATCATGATCAGGGTGAACTGCAGGAGGGGCCGGAGCAGGCGGGCACCTCGCCAAGTGAAGCGGGCCTGCAGGTACAGCTGGAGGGTGGAGAGAAAATGAACAGACACTAAGTGACTTGCCACTCGCCTTCATTACAATACCAAGTCGACGCATACTACATTTCCACTAAATGCAGCCAGCCATCTGGGCCTCGGGCATGGCATGTTGTAGAAAGAACATTCAACTTGGACATGACCACAAGCCGCTTATTTAAACCTTGAGCATTAGTTCTTGTACTGAAAAAATAAGGAAAATGGAGCTTTTCTAGGGCAATAAGCTAGAGACAGCCAAGGAAGGCAATATATGAGAACAGTTTTAGCACACTGCCTGGCATGTATTAGACACTTCATAAATTTTCTCTTCTTCTTGATTGAAACCAATTAAAGAATACTAACCAGGGTTAGTCAGTGCATTTGTGTGTTTTCCTGGACAATACTGTTATGCAATCCATATACTGCCTGCCTCTTAGGGTTGCCATGGAAATAAGATATATGATGAGAAGGGAAGGTTATCAAGTGAGTAGTCACGAGGAGATGCTTCTGCTTTGGAAGAAAGCAACTCTATCAAAGGATTAGTTTCTCAGGCCCTACTTGAGGGTGTGGATTTTGAATTAGTAAGTAAGGAAACACATAAACCCACCAGACAATGCCACAGCGCTTTCAAACAGAGGTTGACAGACACTGGGCTGGGTGGGGTAGGAGAGTAACCTGAAGAAAATGGAAGAAAAAAAAACACCTCTGACCAAAGCAAAGAAGTCGAAATGACGTCAACTGGGCATTGTCCCCCATAGTTATCTTGCTGCAGTTTCCGTTCTAACCTCTGGGCACAACCTACTTTCCAGGTTCCTGTGGGAACTTGGGAAATGAGGGGGAAGAAGCAATGGGACAAGGGCAACTTCCGACTACAAATCAAAGCAAAACACTCAGAGAGACCAGGAGAAGGAAAGAGAGTGGAGGGGAGGGGGCTGATGGCCTAAAGATAGACCTGTGACAGTGGTAAATGCGTGACTCTGCCCTTCCTGAGACAAACGGACATTTTCCTTCTGGTGGTCAGCAAAGAGCACGCCAGAGGCCAGTCCTGAGTAGACAGAAGAGTGGAAGATTCCGGAGCCACTCTTATTCGTGTAGGCAGAGTGTCTAGCACGGAATCCTCTATTTCAAAAATCCAAGACTGAAAAACAGCAGGAAACTATAATCATTGTGAAATTACATGAATGTATCATTGGGAAATCTAAGAATAAGAAATGGAAAAATAATAGAGAATTAATCGATGCTGTTGGTTGCTAAACAAGTAACAAAAAACAAACAAACAATGGTTTTTCATATATAAAAAAAATAACCAGTTAAAAATCTAAAAGAGGTAAAGTCACTGTAATAGCAAAGATGATTAAATAAACAAAATAAATAGTAATGAACTTACAAAGAATCACATAGGGCCTTGATGAAATAAGGGGCATAAAGGACCATTTGAATAAATAGACAGCTAGAATTTCTCTTTATAAGAACACTCGTTTTTAGAACATTTAGCTCATAAACTCATGAATTAACATGTAAATTCAATCAGATTCCCCCCATGGATATCCCATCAAGATTGGGAGAGAAAAAAACCTGAAAAAATTCTAAAAATAACCTAAAAGGCCAAACCTGTGGAATGAGGGAGGAATACAATAAAATAAAACAAAACAAAATAAGCAAGCAAGCAAGCTAGATACCACGATCGGTGCGCAAGACACACAAATGAGAAGTTATAATTCCTGCCTTATGGAGCACACAGTTGGGGAGATACAGGAAAGCAGAAATAAGTATACTATGGGTTTTATAGGAACTAAGTCAAAGGGATGCTTGACTTGAATCCTAAAGATGAATAGTGTTTGGTAGGAGGTGAGGGACAGTAGTGAGGGCTGTGCATTCCAGGCAGAGTGATGACTTAGAAGCCAGCAGAGTTCCAGAGCACTTCCTGTAGTTCCATACAGCTGAAGACGGTGCTTGGGGTGGGGAGGGAGTGGAGGTGAGGAGACACAGTGCTAGAGGCAAACAGAGGCCATTTATGAAGGGCATTGGCTGTCAAACTAAGGAACTGGGCCTTCAGTTAGCAAGCCAGTCTTTCCTAAACCATATACTCCATGGAATACTATGGGTCTTTAAAAAAAAGATTGGTACATGCTCTCTACTAAATCCTTCTTTTCATCACTTATTAGATTTATCACTAGTTTTACAGAACATCTACCTGTTGAGTCCCAGGTGGTAAATGTTACTGTAAGCAATGGTGAAGAATTGCATGGTTTGATGCAAGACACTCAGCACCATAAAAAATCGTCTGCAGATCAAAGGCTAGTCCCTCATTTCTGCTGAAATGACCCAACAGCAGATGCTGCAATCACGAATCAAAAGCTCCCTTCCTTTGGGTAGTTGGGATGGGGATGATGTTGGTGTAGCTACAACTCAACCCAAGTCTTTAGGACAATGGCAAGTTCAGAGAACAAGGAATAGTCCATCCATTTGTATTGTGCCCGCTAGGGTCAGATCTCCCTCCAGAAAGTCTTGTTGATGAATGGGGTGTGCTGGGTAACAGAAAGAGCACAGGTTTTCATCAGAAAAACTTAACTGAGCCTCAGTTTTCTCACACATAAAATACATATAACAACCACTCTCACAGGCTGTAGTACAGATTGGTGATAACGTCGACCAAGTGCCTAGAACCATATACTGCTCAATCAACTGATGATTGTATTCTCAAACCACTTTTCTTAAATTGGACCTACTAGCCCCAAGATTTTCTAACTTCCCCCCACTGAAAACTCTACACTGCACACCTTCAGAAAAACGCTTGTTCAAAAATCCTCCAACGCTTCCCCCTGCCTCCTCCATGTAGACTGTAGGTCACGGACTTGGAAATCCGGGTAAGGCACAGGAAGGGTGGGTTTCCAACCCAACAAAGCATACCTCTCCCCTTCCACTGACTCAGATACTCAGGCTGGAGTGTCATAAAAAAAAGAAATAAATACACGAGAGGATCTTGAAGACAGAGGAAAAGGACAGCTATCAGAATAGCTTCAGGAAGACAGTGCCTACAGAGTAGGGAGCCATCGGTAAGGAATCTTTCTAGGAAGCAGTCAGTCATGGGATTATTCTGCTGAGGCGGGGACTTGCCCCTCCCCCACCCCATCCCTCAATAACTATCACATGTATGGAGAAATGTCTCAAGATCGTGGGATTGATCTTGGTGTCTGCAGCTGGGGCTTCAGGGGAAAGAAAGCGCAGCGGTAGTAAAGTGGATTTTGGGGTGAGACAGCCTTTATTCCGGTCCCAGCTCTACTACTTAGTCAGTGTGTCACGTAACTTCTTAAGCCTCCTCGCCTGTGAAATAGGTAGAACAGTACCTCCCTCTCAGGGTTGTCAGGATCAAATGAGACAACATAGGGCTCTGCCTGGCATAAGACGGGCACTCAAGGCCCTATTCCAGAAACCCACGCCACCCTTTGTTTGCCTTGGTAAGTGAGATTTATGCAATGACTGTGGTTGATTTCACCAAAACAAATAAAGTGCTGAAGAAAGATTGAACAGTGACCTTCCACCCAGTGGCTACTTCTGATTTGAGAAGTAAGCCTGTGGCAACAGGCTTTGAGGACCTGATAACTCCGTCCTCCATCCCACACCAATCTAACTGCTAAATGACTCAGATTTTGCTGGTTCACAGCCTCGTTCGCAGGAGCTACTCCAGGTCAGAGGCCTGGGCCTCACGGGGTCGGTGAGCACTTTCTGGAGCATTCCTGCTCCCTTGGAAACCTGAGCCTGGGGCCCTGTGTGGGTGAGGAGGCTCCACGCATGCCCACTCCACAGGGGCAGGGGCCCCTAATTTAGAAGAGGGAGCCAAACCTCCTGACCAACAAGGATGTCATGTCCCTGCCCTGGGCCAGACAGCAAGCAGACTTGCCCAGAATCATAATTCCTGCATGGGTTTTCACAAAGTCCTAGGCACCCTGAAAGAAAGTGGTTAGGCATGGGGTGAGCAGAGCTGGAAAGAAAGCCAGAAAGCCTAAATCACCCTGAGCTCTCACTGTAGTCAGCAGTCCCGACAGCCTGTCTAATCCGTCTTCACTTCCCCATTGGTGGGAAGCTCTCTGGGCTGGGAAAATCCATTTCTCAGCCATCAGTGTGAGATGGCAGAAAATGGAAAGTGTTTGTCCTGCAATCAGAACAACGAGATCTGAATCTTTTCTCTGCTTCATACCAACTGCATGACAAGTCACACTGCTTCTCTGAATTTCTGCTTTCTCATAAGGACATTTGTTCATTAAAGAAAAAAAAAAAACATGTCTATGAAAGAGACAGACATGAATAACATAAGTTCCTTTGTGAAAAAAGAATCTAGTTTTAAAGTCCTTTGCTTATATTAAGATTTTTCATCCAATGGCTAAAACTGCTGATTGCAGATATGATGAAGACTACAATAGACAGGTATATGCCTGCCCTGCCTGCCCCCCCCGCTTGTGAAAGTCTCTGGCACAGAGGACTCACTCCATGAATGGAGTTCTCTTCCTCCTGGTCCTAGCTTTAAAACTGGGGTCCTGTGGAATTTCANATATGCCTGCCCTGCCTGCCCCCCCCCCCCAAAGGATGCTTGTGAAAGTCTCTGGCACAGAGGACTCACTCCATGAATGGAGTTCTCTTCCTCCTGGTCCTAGCTTTAAAACTGGGGTCCTGTGGAATTTCAACAAAACCTCCTTAGAAAGCTCTGGCTGAATTCGAGCCGGCTCCTCTGGTCTGAACCAGCACAGTCAGATGTGGGTGAGTCACACTCCGTTCTTGCTAAGTCATTTGTGTTGCGTTCCACGATTTGCATACTGGTGAAACAGGTCTGTACTGTCCTCTCCCTTCATTTCCATGGCTCTTGGGACAGCTCTGCTAAGAGGCAAAAGGAGGCTTTTGTCCTTCCTTGCGTCCCTGCTTGCTGTCTTCCTGGAAGTGAGTCCAGATCACTGACACCCGCAGGGAGCGAGTTTCTCCCTCTCTCATCTCCTCCATGGCACATGTTTCGC